GGCAATCAGCCATAGAAGAAAGAACAGATAAGTGGTCGAGACAAGAAATGCCATTAGAACAAGAGGAATTCAGGCAACGCCAACCATCAAGGCACACAGTCGGCATACCTGGGCCCTCTGTCTACATTCATGAACATTTCACTATCCTGAAAACTTGCCAGTTTGTGGGCACTTAAACCCTGCATAAACACAGACGCTTTGCCACAGTCCTCGCTTCATGTTCGGCCGAGATGCATAACCCTGACCGGATACAATTTGTTTCGTTTTAATTAAAAAAAAAAGGTCGCGCCACAGCTCAAGCGGTTAGTCGCTGGCTTCGCGGCGGCCAGGGTTCGATCATGTGGGATTTCTGGTGGACCAAGTGGCGCTGGGGCAGGTTTTCTCCGAGTACTCCGGTTTCCCCAGCCAATTTCATTCCACCAACTGCTCCACAATCACCCTCATCTATCATCTGGATTTGGTAAAATAGGCCAGAAGTGGCCGCGGTCCGGTCTACAAAACCGAGATTAACGGCAGTGGGGATTCGTTGCGCTGACCACGCGACACCCTCTATCCGCTAAAGTTGGCACTAACTTCACCGACTAGCGGTGGTCGCTCGGTAGGTATAGTTCGCTTGCGGACTACAGGCCACGGAGTTTGTTTTTGTTTTAGTGGCCGCGGTACCCAAGAAAAAAATTTCAAACCAAACTCGCTCAAAACGTTCCAAAAATCCAACAGGTTGCTACTTTTCTGAACACATAACAAATCATCAGGGGCCAAATTAATTCCTTACTTTGTTTTTTTTTATTCTTTTTTGCTTCCTCGCCTAACGTTTGGAACGTCAGACAGAATCCGACTTCGGGATGGAACGAAATTTATGGAAGAGCAAATCCTGCCTGCTGTAACTATACCCCGGGTTACATCTGACGGGGAATGCGTTTCACTATGACGTCAGACCTAAGTTCACATTTTGTTACACATATTCCACCACGTAAGTCTGCTCAAGTTGTAACACTTCTGATTTGTTTCCGCGAGGTTCCCATTTCGATTCTCGGCCTAGACACCAATTATTCCGATTGGCCTCTCTGTGGTCTTCCTCTGTTCTTCCAGGTCGTGGTCCGAAGAAAACTACGAGCCTCGGGTCGGAATTCGAGTCCCGGTAGGGTCAAGAATTTTCTCTTCTCCGTGTCCTCCAGACGGGGCCCTCCTATTTAATGGGTACCGTGAGCTTTTTCACCAGGCGTAAGCGGCCGGGGCGTGAAGCTAACCACTCACCTCGAGCTACTGCCGAGGTCAAGCAAATGTGGATCTATACATCCACTCCCCCTTACGTCTTCATGGCGTAGTGCTTAATTAGTTAAGCACAGGGGCAACTTTACCTTTAAATACTGAACACAATTAACATTTACATAATTAAGAAAGTGCTACCATGAGATATGTTTAAAGGAAGAGTTTTGATTCCAAATATGTCATCCTCCTACAAACAGCATCAGCAGCTGAAGAGCATTTGGCAGAAAGATGATGATATTAAGTTCTTTCTTTACTTACATGCTTATTCAGCAGATCAAAGGCCAATTACAAAGTCAGGACAGGCAAAAGAAGAAAATTAAACAAAGACAAAACAAGGCAACAAGTATCATTCAGACAATAATAAAGATGAAACAAATTAAGTCACTCCGAGCATTAAGAGGTGAGAACAAGATATGTGTAACCATATGGAATACAATTAATATTTTAATAACTATTAAAAATACCTCTATAAAATATTATTAAAGAGTTTTTTATTGCTAGTGGGGTGGGAAGTCCCTTGTACTGCGGCCAGTTCTGACCTATTGTACCAGCCCCAGATGATAGGTGAGGGTGATTGTGGAGCAATTGGTGGAATGAAGATTGGCAGGGGAAACCGAAGTACTCGGAGAAAACCTGCCCCAGCGCCACTTTGTCCATCACAAGTCCCACTTGATCAGAGCCGGGATCGAACCCGGGCCGCCGCGGTGGGAAGCCAGTGACTAACCGCTTGAGCTAAGGCGCGGCCTTGATTAAAGGGTTACTATTATTATTATTATTATTATTATTCGACTCTTTTACTTGTTTATGTGCTTACTCAGCAGCCCAAAGGTCAATTACAAAAGTAAACACAGCAAAGAGACAGACAAAACAATCATATACACAAACTAAAGACAAAACATGGCAGTGTGTGTCACTTACAACATAACCATTCAACTAGCGCATTCACGCTAATCATCATGTGATTATATATGTAAACACACATACAATTCAGAGTACAATTAATAGTTTAATAATTCCTAAGTAAGAAGTACAAATTATAAAATACGGTTAACAGATGATGATGATGATGATGATAATGATTCAATTAACTATTTACAAGCTCAGTGAACAGCCCAAAGGCCAATTATAAAGTAAGAACAAGCAAACTGACAAAAAATAAACCAAACACAAAAAAAAAAAAAACAAGATAAAACAAAACATGGCAATGTGCATCATTTAGGCAGTAGCCATTCAGTTAATGCTATCAGGCAAACCATAAACCATATACACCCATACATACATTAATCTTAAAAACAATTAATACTTTAATCACCAATAATGAAGAAGTAAAGTAAAGTTGTCCCTGTGCTTAACTAATTAAGCAGTATGCCAGAAAGCGTATAGGGGAATGGATGTATAGATCCACGGTTTCTTGACCTCTGCACTAGTTGGAGGTGAGTGGACAGCTTCACGCCCCAGCCGCTTTACTTCCGGAGAAAGAGCCCCCGAAACCGATTGTACAGGAGGCTGGGTGGGCCCCAGAACCGGTCTGGGTGACTTAGAGAAGAGAAAATTCTTGCCCTTACCGAGACTCGAACTCCAACCCCTTGGTCGTGCAGCTCGTAGCCAGTCGCTATACCGACTGCGCTATCCCGGCTACCAATAATAAAGAAGTTAAACTACAAGATATTATTAAGAAAAACAGTTTTGGTTCCAAATACATCAAAATTCCTAGAAACAATGACAACAACAACAACAACAACAACAACAACAGCAACAATGGGCTTTTGGGTACATGATTGTGAAATCTATGTTCTCGCGGTGGTTAATATTAAGATTAAACACTTCAGCTATGTGACATCACGCAGCCTTCATCTATCTACCAAATCACTGTGTCATATCCATGAACACCATAAAACCAGCTTGATTACGAATCTTCAGGTTACACAAAGCTACGAATTTCTTAGCCAGCTAAGCAACTATCAACTTCTCATGGTCTTCTACCATGGTCTTAATTAACGACAAGATCACCATCAGCATCATAAAATGTACGGATTGGTTACTCCTGTTAACAAATGAGTGATGATGATAAGCACAGAACTGGGATGCCCCTAATGCCAATATGAAAATTCCAGATAAAGTCAAGGCAAAATGGTGGGAGAGTCCATGACTCACTTCGGAAAGTTGTTTCTTGTCGAAGTTCATATTATTAAAAAATTATTCAGCTGGAATATCTTAATCAGTATAGCGACTGTGATACCTCCCTAGATACATGGGAAACTGGGGTTCGATTCAGGACAGGGGTAGGGATTTCCCAATTAACCTTTGCATCCACACCAGCTCTGGGGGCCACTCAACCCACCAAATACATACAAGGGTCATTTTTCCTTGAGGGATAAACCAGCCAGGTCATGAAGAGAACCAAATTCCAGATAGTGTATAAGTTAGGAATGCACGGAGCAATGCCTCCACTCTCCCATACATCTTCATGGCATGGTGTTTAGTTAAGTACACGAACAACTTTACCCGCACTTTTTATTTATGTATCTGACAAAACCGAATTCATTTTCGTCTATAAGTTCATGTACATCCCACACACCTACCACAATTTCAGTTTCTTTACAAAACTTTGAAATTTCCCCCCCCCTTAAATTCACGAACTTGTTAACTATTTGCAATCAACTCCCTCAATATATCAACATGAACAAAGGGTGCAAACACACTGGTGCAAAACAATGGCAAACCTTCCCACCCTGAGACATCATTCTCCACCTCTACTCAGTAATTCAAAATTAATTTAAAATGTCAGACTAACATAACGCTTAGCAATTAGTCTGTGGAGATCACACCTGTGCCTAGTGTTCACATCACGAGACTTAAAATATCCCCCTTTATATATGTGTATCTATGAAAGTATAATTACATTTATTAAATACTGTTTTGCAGGAGGAGGATAGCTCAGTTGGTATAGCGATTGGCTGCCAGCTGGACGACTAAGGGGTCGGAGTTCGAGTGCCGGTAGGGATACAAGGGGGTAAAGCAGCTGGGACGTGAATCTGACCACTCACCTCCAAATAGTACCAAGGTCAAGAAAACGTGGATCTACACATCCACTCCCCCATATGTGTTCATGGCATAGTGCTTAATTAGTTAAACACAGGGACAACTGTACCATTTTTAAAATATTGTTTTGCATTCTAGCTGTATATATTCAGAGTAAACGGAAAACTATGTGGCACTCCTATACAAGCATGTCAACACGCACTGTTTTTGACTTTACAAATTATAGGTATGGCCAGTTTTCTTCATAATGTGATTACACGTAGCAAGCTCTCAAACGAAATATCAATCCACTGGAAGCATTACAAAATCCAGACAGCCATATGCGAAACAAAGCCAATAGAAATAACAGTTGATAAGTATGTCAGCAACTGGAACAAAAACCTTAATAAATAATTTCTCAACTCCTTCACATAACTAGCATATTTCTTTTTTTTATTAACTAGTGACAATTACGTGTACAAAAGTCACTCCAGTTTTATATAGCATTTATATGAGAACAATCTACGAAATCAATGGTTTCGATAAGATCGCAAACCGAAGCACCGAATACTAATGAATTCTGGGACTGGGTGGAAAATAAGCTGATAGATGTCTATGGCGTAGACATTTCAAAACAAAGAAACTACTTTGTACATAAACAACACTGTTTTCAAATTATTGCCCATAATAAAATCACAACTATGGAATACCTTCTGTTGATCTTTTCGATGGTCCAAATGATCCAGAGCCCAGAACTGGCTTTTTCCATCCTCTCCAGTTGTTACACAATGACTCTGGTTCACTGCTCCAACTACACAGCGAATCTTCTTCAAACCTATCCGAATCTTCGAAAGAAAACCTATCCGCTTCCTCCCAATCCAACATCGTAGCGGGGTCATCCCCCACACCAGGACTGCCAGCCAGGTTGACCGCTAGTATTTGTCAAAATAAACACCGAAATTCTGACGTCTACCTTGACCCATAGATTGGCGGGTCACTCGCGGTCACGAACTGGAGGCCACAGACCTCCTGGCCTATACCTCTACCAGATGTATTCACAAAGTTTCACTTCTACCACTAATAACCCAAATATGTACACAATCACATCAAAGGCGTGATACAGAACAACGTGAAGCGTCATTCACCACATACACGTTCATTTCGTGACGTCTTTGCACAAACCTCCACACACACAACTGTCCAAGCCAAGCACTTAGTAGCGCTTGGTGGCTTAGCCTACCCCATCGACGACAACAACAAATATGGCGGACAGCGCTCCACTGTGCAAAGCATTGATTAGTTATTATATTTAACGAGTACGTGACTGACCCTATTACTTTACACAGTGTTTTTAATTCCGTAACTTCATTTGTATGCTTTAATATTATGCATTCATAAAATTAGTAACTCATAGTTGGTGAGTGCAATAATCTCACTGCTTTACATTTTAGTTTCATGTCTCTAAAGAGAGCTTAAAATAAGGAGGAAAAATTTAGATTGTATATATAACACGTTCAATTCATAGCACGGCTTGAAGAGTTGTCTTTTGCCATATAACGCCGGGTAGTCTAACGAAAGTGAGCTTGAACATGCTACTTTGAATTCCTCACAACGGTGACTATGAAGAACTCTGTCTTCTGTGTTGTAACCCGGTGCAGCTCGTCAGAATTTTACAGACGTTTCGGAGGAACGTATTACGTTGATCTTCAATATCGAAAACTAAGCAAATCAAGAAACCTGCAAGGAGAAATTAGATTCTGCTCCTTCTTAATTTCTGACTTGGCTTATTATTCGATCCTGTAGATGGAGATACGTTCCCCCGAAACGTCGAGGAACTTATATCGAACTACATAGCGTTACAAATCAGAAAATCGCAGTCTTCACTTTCTGAATTGTTGAACATTAACATTAGGATTATAATGTACTGATCCTTCACGATTATAAGAGAGAAAATGACAGAAATTAAACGTTTCGTGTGAGTTGTGTTGTACATACGAATAAATATTTAACGTTGCTTCTTCCTTTCATCATAATGTTTGTGATATGGTACCAGTACTGGCAGGTCCCGGGGACTTTCGGTCTCCATATCGATTTGTATAGTTGACGAATGCTCTCACAAGATAGCGTGCCTTACACTCAACCTGTACCTTCTACCAACTCAATGTTAGTCAATCAATGACCGGAAGTCACATACAGCTGAGAAAATCGATACGTAGCTCTAGCATATCCGGTTTCCATAATTTCTTGGTGAGAAATATAGTAGGTAAATAAATTATAATTATATCTGTTATTTGGTCACATTTTACTTAAAATTATAAAATATAGTAAATAACTTGTTAATTTTCCTGTACTTTGACTAGTAAGTTATCCCTAAATCGTGACCTAATACAGGATGAAAGTGGATACTGGAATCTAACCAAAGAGGTCCATGCTGATGACTGTCTTCTGTGAGACCGCCGAACTATATTACATTGAATGTTTTGTTTTCCTTCATTTTCATGAAAGCCCATAATGGCACCAAGGAAGGGAAAAGTCCAGCAGGAACAAGTTCAAGTGTCACTGGGACCACAGCTCCGGGAAGGAGAGATAGTTTTTGGAGTGGCACACATTTTTGCCAGTTTCAATGACACATTCGTTCACGTTACCGATTTGTCTGGGAGGTACGTATGGTTTGTAGTGCCTGATTCACAGTCTTTCAAAGAGGGGTGCAATCGCGATAGGTAAAAGTATATGGGAGTTGCATGTATGTCACACAGCGCAGGAAGATTATTAGTGAACCACCAGTGTGGTGAAATTATATTTGTTCTGCAATGCTGGTTATTATGTCAGTATAGTTGTTCGAATGAAAAAGTGGACCAAAGTAACAGTTGAAAACTTTTGTAAAAATACACGCAGGAATTTATTGGAGAATGTGGTTGTACATTGATTTAGGGCCTGTGTTTATGCTGCTTTTGCGTTAGTTACTGCGTAGGAAGTGGATGGACAATGAGTAATGGTGGTTGAAGTGAACTTAGTGTTTGGAATATTGTATTTAAGCATTCTGTTGCATTAATATATCTTCTGTACACGATACAATTCCATCAAAAATGCAACTATTTTTATCACTCCTTCCTTCACAACATGTTGTGGCCCCAAACGACCATCACCAGGTGTCTCAGCTATGCTAAAACTGTTCCACTGTATGGAATGTTCACTTTTTCACATCACATACAACTGCAGTATTTCATGATTTAGAATATTGAATGTTATGATTGATACTTAGTTAACATTAGTTAAAAGTACCATACAGTAATTTACTGTAAATTGAAATTCATTATTTTTTTTATTACAATTTTGTAAAATTCTTTTTTACACCTCTACTAGGGGTGTCGTTCATACTCTATATTTAATGAGTCTAAGGTGATATCATTATATTGAATTTAAAGATCTCATTTATTTGTTACATAAAAATGAAATATTCCACATTCAAAATATATTAAAGTATTGGGAAATGTAATTCTGCCTATACAAGAGATTAAATTTGAATTGTTTTAGTATTTTTTTTTTTGCATTTAATATCATTAACTCAGTGAAAATATGTCAGTAATAATCGGGAACATGTTGAAAGGATGGAAGAAAATTGTATCCTGTTAGTGGTTGACAAGGAAAGTGAGTGCTGGAAGCCCATTAAAAAGATGGACTGAAGATTTTTTTGTATGAAATTGGCCATTGAATTAAGCGAAATTTTTAGACACCCATGATATGAATTTAGTACAGTTATCTACTCTTACAGTGTGAAATTTTTCATTAGTCTTACACCTGATTTAACATGTTTTAAAATCATTTTCCAGAGAAACCATTGCACGAGTGACTGGTGGCATGAAGGTGAAAGCTGACAGAGATGAGGCATCACCCTACGCTGCTATGTTGGCTGCGCAAGTAAGTTAACCATTTTCTGACGTTTTATACAGCTGCTGCACAAGTACACAAAATTAATGCACATATATGTTGTACTGAGTCCAGGTAAAGGACATCTTCAGAAGGCATTATATTATAAAATATGCTTCTTTAAAAAGTGAGTATTGATTCCCCCACCACAGCAAATAATTTTCTACTTATATATATGTGCATGTATGAAAAAGTAAAATGTTATAGAACATGACTTTCATTTTTCTGATGCTGTTGGTTATGGGTCTGATTAACCAAAATTCCCTTTGTACACAGTGGCCACACACTGGCATGTGTTAAGATATGTAACAGTCAAGACATGATTTCTGTGACATGACACAAAGAAAGAAGCACAGTTGAAACGAATAAGATTATGAAAACCGCTGCACACTGGTCTGAGTCACGATGCTGACAAATCACCAATGAAAAAAGACTGTGTCTTTCGTCTCATGTCGTGATGCTTGTCTTGACACAGTTGGTATGTGGCTGCCCTTATACATTAAGTATGGAACCAGCATTTGATTTCATTGTTTTCTGTTGCATTAAATGTGGCGAAGGGTTAAGGGCCCTACACACGCTCCGGTAGACCTGTCAGGTGCGCCTGCACAGGCTGACCTGAAAACCCCAGTGCGCCCACACGCTCAGGTACACCTTTCCGATATTACTTCAGTTGTGTGTTTGCTACGGTCGGACATGGCATCTACAGATGACGATCTTCTAGCTGTATTTGGCTTATTATTAGCTACAAATTGTTTCAAACCGAAAAGTAAGCGTCAAACCTGGTGCAAAGAGTGGTTGATGAAAAGAAACGTTTATTCACATGTGAATCTGTTACGTGAATTGAAGTTGGTCCCTAAAGATTGGCACAATTATTTGCGCATGAATGAAGAAACTTATTTACAGCTCCTGTCATTAGTTGCCCCATTAATTAAAATAGAAAGATACCGTTATGAGGATGGCCATTTCGCCACACGCTCCGGTTTGCCTGGTTCAGGTACAAAACTGCACAGGTCGTCTAATGATTTTTCGAATATGCTCCGGCGGACTGTTCAGGTCACAATAACTGCGACGTTTTGTCATCCACACGCTCCGGTCGACCTGCGCAGGCGCGCCTGTGCAGGCGCACCTGACAGGTCTACCGGAGCGTGTGTAGGGCCCTTCAAATGACTAGGATGTTGAAACACACTGGAAGGCCAGTGATAATGAAGTGACTGAACACTTCCCCAGGACCAAAAATTGCACTGAATTTTGCAAAGAAGAAGCCCTAAAAGTAGTGAAGATTGCCCAGAACTTCAGCTGTGAGGATGAATACAAATGAAGTTGGGCACACCTCTTCCCGCAAACTTTCTTCTTAACCACAAGGTCTGTTCCCATTGGATAACACCACATTCCTCACTTCCACTGCATGATGTGTCACGCCATCTTACTCATTCACACTGAAGATGACTGTAACATATCTTGAAATCAGTGGCACGACTTCAACACTGTAGCTAAACTCTGAAAGTTGAAATCACATTAAAAAATATGCATGCAATTTGGGTGTGTTCCATGGCATGTAATGCCTAGGATCCTTTAATGAAATTATTTGCAAGAAGTTGCTTGTAACATGTTTTTATACTGAAACTGAAATATAAGCAGTTTTGGAAGTACCATTTCATATAATTATAGTACAAGTAATATTGTATGATTCCAGAAAATCTGTTAAAATAACATCCCGATGTATTTTATTTCAAACGTCTCTGATGACCTGTACCACAGTCTAAGTAACTACGAGCCATGGAATGAATGTATATACTGTCTGAGCACTTAAAAGTGAATGGTAGCTTCCCCCACTTATCTGCCAGCAGTCTGAGCTTACTTTTCTCATACACTGACCTACACCAAGCTGGTTTTACTGTATTTGCTTCTTTTATGCAGGACGTTGCAGAGAAATGTAAATCTCTGGGAATCACTGCTCTACACATCAAGCTGCGAGCTACTGGAGGCAACAAAACCAAAACTCCAGGCCCAGGAGCTCAGTCAGCCCTCCGGGCACTGGCACGTTCTGCCATGAAGATTGGCCGTATTGAAGATGTGACTCCAATTCCCTCTGATTCAACAAGAAGGAAGGGAGGACGACGTGGTCGCAGGTTGTAAGCGGCAGAACCTGTTGTGATCACTCGTGACTGTTTAAAATTTGTATATCATTACAAAAATAAAAATATCTTGATAAATTCTCTTATAGAAATTAATAAAGTAAAAGCCCAGTTTAAACATTTCTCAGTTCAGAATTTTCCATTCCTTGAAGGAGGAGTCACAAAATGAAATGAAATCTGCATCCATGATGGATTAAAAGAATTTATCTGCAACTTTGTGACGTTTCAGGTGCACAGGGACATCAGATCTACTTTCCACCTCCTCCTTACCTTGAGTTTCTCAAAGAAATCTTTAATGAGTTTTCACTGCTGTCCATTATGTTCCCATGGAGCCACCTGCTCATGCTGGTTCCTCACTCGTGGATTTTTCAACCCTGAAGATGGAGGCGATACGTTCCTCTGAAATGTCAGTTCTCACAAGATCTACATGGCGCCACATCCCACAAGACGGCAGGCATTCTTTGACTGCCATGAACACCTCAAATCTTATGCCTCTAATAGTTTGTTTCTAAAACTGAAATCAGTTATTTTAGAGGGTCTGTAGTAAATTGGCCCAGTCCATAATAATTTTCAGTTAGCCACTCTTTCCACAAGCTTCTTTCATTCCATCATTTGATACACCTTTCAATTTGCATTGTTCTACCATTTGATCATGTAATCTGTCAGTGTTTGTGTGACATGTAACGAGCAGAAGTACCCTGTCTTTGTCTGGGATATTATTACTTTCCTAATTAGTATCACTGTATAATAGAAACAGCTTCTGCATGTAGTGGCAGGAATGTGGAGCAAATTTCATAATATCTTTGGGTGTTCTCTGTTACGTTTGCCTTAGGACCTGAAAGAAATTAATTTTACCACTCGCACATCTCATTTTCTAACTCAGATGTCTGTATGCATACAGGGAGCAGGAAGTAAATTACTAAATGACTTCATCAGCTGTCCTAGCATTTGCATATAATTTTAAATAATGACTTACAACTGCAGTGTCCTATTTACACAATTATTCCAAAATTTATGTTTAACATAACATACATTTATAAATTATTTTTAACTTGCATATCAGCAGCAACTTCGATAAGATATTACATAGCTTGCCTTGATTAAATATAGAGAGATATTAATATGAAAAACTAAACACCACATCTGCAGCACATTTTCACAGTGCAGCTTTTAAAGGAGTTCAAACTGAGATTAAGAAAGCTCTGACAGAACATTTCATACACACTTCAAGCATGCAGAATATATAATGCTTTAGGTGCATGCACCAACAGTTTTACCAGCATTAATGAATACTTTGACCTTCAGGTCAACTTTTTGTGGTTCCTTCTGATCTAATGTGGCCATAGTGTTTACATATGTGTACTTCATAACAAATCCCACTAGGACATGTCCTGCCTCTGTAGCTGAGTCTAGTGGGACAACAGCAATCTTTACAGCAGCCTTGTTTGCTTTACGCCACATCACAACCCTGAAACAGAGTAAAAACTAGTTACAATATTGTGGTGTATAGACACATTGTTTTAAATATTTGGGTAGCTTGTTAACAGATGATGGAAGGTGTACTAGTGAAATTAAATCCAGGATTGCCATGGCAAAAGCTGCATTTAGCAAGAAGAAGAATCTTTTTACNGTGAGAAATGAAGAAGTGTTAATTAGAGTCAGTGAGCAGAGGAATATCCTACACGAAATAAGAAAACGGAAGGCTAATTGGATTGGTCATGTTTTACGCAGAAACCGCCTTCTAAAATAAGTTATTGAAGGAAAGATAGAGGGGTGGGTAGAAGTGACAAGAAGACGAGGAAGAAAACGTAAGAAGATGCTGGATGACCTTGGGGACAGAAGAGGATACTGTCATTTGAAGGAGAAAGCTCTAGATCACATTAAGTGGAGGAATTGTTTTGGAAGAGGCTGTGGACTTGTCATCTGACAGATTACTGATGATGATGATGATGATGAGACACATTGATAAGTGGTGACTATATAGACAACGGTGGTTGCTAAGCAACAGGCAAATCAACAAACACCCACTTCTATGCAACGGTTGAGGTACTGTTGGACTATAACAATGGAAATGATGTTTTCTATGTGGTCCATACTGAGATGTTATAAGCAGAACAGTAGTTTGAACAAATGAGTTGATCCATGTGGAAACAGGGTCAAATACCTTCACTGTGACCCTGCGAGACGTACGAGACGACGAAAAGGGAAGCCTCAGATCTGAGACAGTAAAATATGGTCGCGAGTCCCAACAGACTCAGACCCAAGAAAAACTGTGCTGGCAAGGGCCAGCAGCATATACAAAAGACAGACCTGGCCTCACATCAAAGGACAAAAACAAGACCGTAACTGTCAAACAGTAATAAATATCTGGTCATGAGCCCAAGATGGGCCTCAACACCAAGACTTACTGATTGACTGACCGTCAGTCACGATGCGACCTGACTCTGACTGAATGAACGAGTCAGTTGTCAGAAGCAGTGGAGCTGTCAGCAGTTCAGCTAACTGATGTGACGTGAAGTAGCTGGTCAGTGAGTGACAAGAGTTCAGTTGTCAGTTGAGTGTCAGCCTGTGAAGAGAAGACCATGAGGTCTTGTTGAATGTGACCCCATGTGGTCTGTTACATCAACATTTCAGAAGAACCTATACACAGACATTTTAATACCCCCCCCCCCTTCCCCAGTGCCTGTACATTCTTGACCTTTTATTCTTTACCTTCTTCCTCTGTTCTGCGGCTCTTTTCAGTGCCATGGGTCTTAATTCACTTTAGACCACTCCATTTGGTTTGACCTTAGCCCCAAGCCACATCCTCCCTTCTACTCTGAAGATGGATGTAGCAGCTTCTTCTGAAACACTGGTAACTATCTACCAGGCTACGTGGTGGTACTTCCCAGAAGACAGTAGTACTGTGTGTAAATTCCTTCCACAAGATCTTGCTTTTTACATTGAAAAATATCAAGCAAACAAAATATGCTAAATTTTGTCTGTACCTAAGGATGAAGTAAACAAGTAACTTATGATGATTAAATCTAGGAGGCTTAGATGCATTGATCATATGGGTAGGATGGGCATAACAAGTAATGCAAAAGAAATTCTGATGTGGAAATCTTTTCAAAAATGGTTACTTGGAAGACTGGTAAGGAGATGGGAGGACAACATTAAGGTATATCGTAGGGAGATAAGTTTTGAAGATAAAAGGTGGATGACATGATTATGTCTAATGGCAGAGTTTGTTATTAGTTGTAACAATCCCCTGGAACTGTACTGACTGAAAGCAGATGTGAAAACTAGTTACCACAAAATCCTTCCTTAAAACTTGTGCTTACCCGCCTCGCGAATACACGTTACTTGCTTACTTACTCATGGAGCTGAGCCCTTCTGGAGGAGCCGCCAATTCCGCAGCTACTCCAGAAGTTCCCAGCAGTTTATGGAACCCGAAGGTTCATTACTGTGTTCACAAGAGCCCTCCACTGGTCCCTATCCTGAGCCAGATCTATCAAATCCATACCATCCCATCCTATCTCTCTTAAGATCCATTCTAATATTGTCCACCCACCTATGCCTTGGTCTTCCCTGTGGTCTCTTTCCTTCTGGCTTTCCCACCACATTCCTCATCTCCCCCATTTGTGCTACATCTTGCGAATACACTTCCTTTCTCAAACTACCCCTTGCACATTCCTCCTACCTCCTGCATAAACTGGTTTCCTCAAAATGGCCCTTGCACACTCCTACCCAGCTCTTGGTTCCTATTGGCTTGCCCATGAAGCTAGGTGAGACAGAGTAGTAAGCCAATGGGGACTGGGCAACACCCCTTCCTCTTACCCTCTGGTTCCTATATAACTGTTATCGCAACTGACAGCTGACTCTGCCTAGCCAACTGCTCTCACTGGTTTCTTGCTCTGCCAAGTTCTGACCCTGAATATGGAGGTGATAACCTTCCTCCAAAATGTGGGTTCGTAAACAGACTAGATGTTGCTATATCCCAAAAAATGGCAATCTGCATTACTACCACTGTGAGAACCTCAAATCCTGCAATATTTCAATCATTCTGGATGGGCCAAAACGTTCTTACAATTACAAATAGAGACCTTTCAAAAATATTACATCTAGGTGGTTTTAAGGAAGGGATGCTCAAACAGTTTAAAGGTTATTATTAATAAAACACACTGATTTATTATCCAAAATAGAATAAAAATTATACTGAGACTGGCGGAAGGACTAGAGGTGTTCCAGTTGTCAGTGAATCGTGATATACATACTTGGGATCATCCTGAAAATGGTAAGTTTCCCCCGAGTCGTCATATTCTGCGGCATCATCTCTTGGTGGAAGAACTACAGATGACGATGGTAGAATTACGTCACCTGTAAGCTTCACATTCACTGGACGAGGATCTTCAGAGATGGACGTCTGACGTGACAATGATGGCAGAAGAATGCTTACATCATCTCTCCCTTGTGATGTTTTCTGGATAAACGTCAAATGAACACTTAATAAAATATATGGGAGATGAGTCCAGAGACAGATTCAATCTCAATCACAGAACAATGAAAGCAAAATTTGCCTGGTTTGACTGGCTTTAGTACTTACCTCTGCGTCTTTTTTTTCAGCCTGTTTTTTCTTCTTTTCTTCTATTTCTTTCTCTCTCTCCTCCAAGTCTTCTTCTGCAGAAGGAAGAGGAAGGAACTGAATCACAGTCTGATGCTGTGTCGGATTGCATAACCTGATGATCAGCTGGCTCTCCTGGCCGATACGGAGCAGTTCACAAGTCACGATACGTATCTCCGGAACATGGTAACTAAAATGATCGCTCACATTGTCAACCCAATCATGGTAATATGAAGTCTTCTTTGGCGATCAGCAATGTGATGATGTAGTTAATATCCAATGTTGGGAGACTGTCTCTGTCTCCATTATCAGAGCCTGATCTGACAACGTTTGCCGTCACACATACCCACAGAGTATGCTCTCGGTATACAATGTGAGGCTGTATCACTCACATCAACTCCTGATGAGGGAGCCAGTCTCAGGAACGTTAGATACTAACTCCACCTCCACATGGCTGAAATGACCTCCTTCGAGATGCATACCACATCAGATCATGTGTAAATACAGCTCTGCATTAAGAACTATGTACGACAGTATTAACTGCAGAGAAACTTACTAAGCCGCCAGCTGTATCTTGAACTTAATGGAGCCTGGATTGTACTCGGGCTTGCTGACATTATGTTCACAGCTACGACAGCGTTGCGACCTCTTGATCATGAGATGCTTGTGAGCTGGGAACAGATCTGACACCAGTTCAGGCTGGAATTCTGGCTGTGCCAAGCGCTGTGAAAGCGTCGTCACTATAAATAAAATCAAAACTTTGCAATCTGTGGTAGTGTAACTGGACAAGTCCCTAGTCAGGATTCTAAGGACTGAATCTACTGGCAGGATAAACAACTTCTGGAGGAGACTTGCATGACCTGGACTAGAGGTGTCGAGAGAAGGGCTCAGTTAGCTAGTTCACAGAAATACTTCAACTATATAATAAATTTGAGACTTTTATTGCTAAATTCTGGCCTATGCTGAACTGATGGGCAATTGGTATATGTTTTTGGACAACTGCCCACATCCAGTATAAATATTATAAAAAAGTGAGACAAAAATTGTTGTAGCATTTATATAACATAAATTGTAAATTATTAAGCTGATATTTAAGCAAGGCTGGAATAACAGATTATAAGAACTTTTAATTTAAACTTTAAGGGCAGTCTGGCTGCCTAAATGCTGCACTTTTGCAATATAATACCATACCCCCTGAGCTGGAATAGTATAATCGGTACAGCAGCTTTCTATGGGATGCACGATCGAGGGGTCAGAGTTTGAGTCCTGGGAATTTTCTCTTCTGTACATTGTCCATACCGGCTTTGGGGTCGAACCAACCTCCTATTCAGTGGGTACTGGAAGCTCTTCCCTGGGGGTAAAGTGGCACAGCGTGTGAAGCTGACCACTCACCTCTAGCTAGTATCAAGGTCAAGAAAATGTGGATCTAAACATCCACTCCCCCATATGCCTTCATGGCGTAGTGCTTAATTAGTTAATCACAGGGACAACTTTACCTTTTCACCCTGAGTTAAAATATGTCTTCCAGATCAACAGTACTGGGAAATTTCTCAATCCAGCACGATAAACAGTTACCCGCAAGCTGAAACATGTCCTCCAACCTCAGAGTACTGCAAAATTTAAAATCCCTTATTTCTGGACAATAAGGGTTAAGTAATTAACCCTTTGGAGTCTAATGTCAAGTACAGATCATTGTAGTGGCAAGGTGCTATAGCACACAATAATGAGGCATCATCAATTTCAAATTTAAACTGATGATGCAGTGAAGAAAGTCTTGCACTAATAGCATCACAAAACCAAGCGTGGGTGTTCTTTTTTTAATCAGCACTGTGCCTGGAAAAGAGAGCTTCAAGAGGCTAAAACTGGCTCTAGCAGTTCAACATATATTCAAATAAATCAATATAAAAATTATATTTAAAATCACGTGTACTGCTGTGTCTGGTGAAGTCTAAGGGCGGCTGCACACCAACTGCGTCAAGACAAGCATCAAGATATGAGACAAAAGACGGAGTCTTGCTTCATTCATGATTCAGACTTGAGTCCGCACACCGAAGTAGCACGCATCTGTGTCTTATCACATCTTCTCTAGTTGATGACATGACATCATGTTGATAACGTACACTGGTGCTGTTCCTTGAGTACTGATGTCCGAGTCTTGATGCACAGAAAAGGAACATGTCGAGTCTTGCTGCACGTGTCTGCAGCATGAAGCTGACGTCAGCATCATAACTTAGACCGGTGTGGCGGTTTTCATAATCTCATTCATTTCAACTGTGCTCCTTTCTTTGCGTCATGTCGCAGACATCCTGTCTTGACACATGCTGGTGTGCGGCCTACCTAACAGTTTTCAAACTCAAACTGCACCATACTTCAAATATATATATATATATATATATATATATGGATATAACTGGGGAATTATAAAGCACGGTGTTCCACAAGGATCAA